CCAGGCCCAGTTCCTGCAACCGTCCATCGTATCTTTTAGTCTCCAGTCCCCTAATCATCCTGATTCTCTGCACTTTTTCTAGAGTCTCAACATCTTTTTTATAGTGTGGTGACCAAAACTGGATGCAGGACTCTAGGTGTGGCCTTACTTAGGCTTTATAGAGTGGTATTAGTACCTCCCTTGATCTCGATTGTATCCCTCTGTTAATGCAGCTTAGGATCGCATTGGCTTTTTGGGCTGCCGCCGCACACTGTTCAGCCCAAAATTTATCTTGCTAAGTGAGAAATTGGTTAAGTGAGTTTATCTCCCATTTTACGACCTTCCGTGCCCTGTTTGTTTCAGGGAATCCCTGCCGTTGTTTAAATTAGTAACATGGCTATGAAGCGAATCTGATTTCCCTGTTGACTTTGCTTGTTAGAAGGTCGCAAAAGGGTCACGGGACACTGCCACCGTCGTAAATATGAGTCCGTTGCCAAGCGCCTGAATTTTGATCAGGTGACCCTGAGGATGCTGCAGTGGTCCTAAGTGTGAAAAACGGTGCTGAGTCCCTTCTTTTTTTCTTTTTTTTTTAGCGCTATTGCAACTTTGAACAGTCACTAAACGAACTCCTTTTTATATATATAAATTTTATTGAAAATTAAATTTTAAAAACATTTGAACATGGTGATCTTTTGACATATATCAGCATACACATACATACACATCTTTACATTGTAAATCTTTATATTCATTTCTATCTTGGAAATTTTATTGCAATATAAACTCTAATTTCTATTTTACATTTTTTTGACTTCCTTTCATATCCCTCCAATTGTAAATTTTTTTTTCCATCTTTCATAGAATTCTGAAGTATCTCGTTCCTTCAGTTCTAACGTTAAGCGGTCTAACTCAGCGCAGTGTAGAATTGTTATTATTATTATTTCATCATTAGGTATTTCTTTTAATTTCCATGTTTGGGCAATCGATAATCTTGTGGCTGTGATAATATGTATAATTAGATACAGATCTGCTAAACGAACTTTTGTAAATCGAGGACTACCTGTATAGACGGGGTTGGACTAGAAGACCTCTGAGGTCCCTTCCAACTATTGTTATTCTGCTTGTTTTTTACAGGATGATTCAGAAGACAGTGAAAGCAACGGAGAAGAGGAAGCTATGCAGACTATTCCCTCTACACAACCAGCTGCTACGCATCTCTCTCCGTAATTCATCTTTTCTTATTTTTCTCCCCCCGCCCCCCTTCTTTCTTAACGCTGGTTAAGTGGCCTATGGCATGAGCTTTCTTGCCACGGTCATTAAGTGAATCGCTGCAGTTGTGAAGTTAATCACATGGCTGTGAAGGGAATCCAGCTTTCCTGTTGCAACTAGAGGATCACATGTGACCTTGGGATACTGCGACCGTCATAAATATGAACCGGTTGCCAAGCATCCGGATTTTGATCATGTGACCGTGTTTGGGAGGCTGCATTGGTCAGAAGTGTGAGAAAACAGTCACAAGTCACTTTTTTCAGGGACATTGATTGGCCCAAAGTCACCCAGTCGGCTTTCCTGCCTAAGGCAGAACTAGAACTCACCGTCTCCTGGTGATTGGCCCAAAGTCACCCAGTCGGCTTTCCTGCCTAAGGCGGGACTAGAACTCACCGTCTCCTGGTGATTGGCCCAAAGTCACCCAGTCGGCTTTCCTGCCTAAGGCGGGACTAGAACTCACCGTCTCCTGGTGATTGGCCCAAAGTCACCCAGTCGGCTTTCCTGCCTAAGGCGGGACTAGAACTCACCGTCTCCTGGTGATTGGCCCAAAGTCACCCAGTCGGCTTTCCTGCCTAAGGCGGGACTAGAACTCGCCGTCTCCTGGTGATTGGCCCAAAGTCACTCATTTGGGTTTCCTGCCTAAGGCAGAACTAGAACTCACCGTCTCCTACTTTCTAACCTAGAGCCTTCCCCACTAGACCAAATGCTCTTCTAATTTTAATGCACTTTAATGCACCGTTATCTCGATGTTCAGCTTGTGGTGCCTGAAAACCTGGCTGATTTTTCTCTCCCCTCCTCTCTCTCTCCTCCCTACAGAGCCCCTGCACCCTACCTCCACTTTACAGCCCCTCCCATCTCCGCTGTCCCCTTACCTGTACCAGCTCCAACAGGAACAGTCCCGGTTGCACTTCCGCCCGTGTCCCGCGCGCCAGTCCAGGCAGGAGAAGAGGAAGATTATGACACTTAACACACACACACACAACGCACCCTGGTTCCGTTTTCACTGCTGCCATTCGGGATGGGAGGGGCGGGGGGGTGGGGGAGAATCACAGGGGGTTTGAAAGGGGCTGTTCTTAAATTTATTAAAAAAGAGAAAAAGGCGATAGTGGGATTTTTATTTATATATTTATATATATATATATTTTACCCGTACCTGGGAATGGCAGAATGGAATTTCTAGCTAGTCCTCGGCTTAATGGCTGCCATGGAGCCCAGCATTTCTTGTTGCTAAGGGAGTTCGGCCATTGTTGTTAAGCGAATCAGTGCAGGGGCTGAATTCGTCCCCCTGTCGTTAAGCGAATCAGGGGCTGAATTAGTCCCCCCGTTGTTAAGCGAATCAGTGCAGGGGCTGAATTAGTCCCCCCGTCGTTAAGCGAATCAGTGCAGGGGCTGAATTAGTCCCACCGTCG